TTTTTTTTTTTTTTTTTTTTTTTTTTTTTTTGGTCAGGTGATTTTATCACAGCAACAGTGAATGACAGACAGAAAGGCATTCTGGAAATTTCGACTGACAGTGAAGGGACATTCAGGGAAGAAGAGGCCTATAAAAATGGAACCAGGGGTTGAAAAGGGTGAGCTGGGGTATGAGCTGGGGTCTCACTGGAGAGAAGCTGGTGAAAACAACTGACTTGGAGTGAATGTGGTCAGGTAAGGGCGGGACAAAGGTGCTGGAGGCACCTGTTTGGATTGCTTCTTAAAAATGTGACTGTCCTTGAGTGGAGGCCACATCCCCCCAAAAAAGACACAGTTGCAAAGTCTGCCAGTGCCCGAGGTACTGCTGAGAGAACCGAGGTGACTCTTAATTACTTATAGTTCTGGCTCATGTGACCCCCTTCTCTCCTGAGGTGCAGGATTATTCTCAAATGCACAGACTAGAGCAAATTTGGTGAGAGTTCGAGTCTCAGATGAAAGTACAAATCTAACCCCTCCCTGGCCAGTCAGTACACATGCTCTACCAAAGGGTGGTCCGTGGAAGTGGATTTCCCATGTCAAAGAGCCTGAACTTCAGGCATCAGAATGGTGGGATCAAGATGAAGGTTGGGTGTCTAATGGCACCTAGCTTTGGGAGAATTAGTTAAATCGGCATAAGTACAGCTTCTGAGTCAGAGTTTAAGTTTTAATGGGATTTCCAGGTGATCTGCAAGCATCTTCACCTTGGCAACTGCTGGACAAGACAACTCGGAAGTTTCTGCAGGCAGAAGTCTGACCAGGAGGCCTTCATGTTTAAAGAGACAAATACAGGCAAACATTACAGCAGGCTGCTCTGCTAATGAGCAGCATCCTGGAAAGACAGGGCAAGCATGTGACAAGGGGAAGGGCAGATGATGTCATATGATGGGTTTTCCTGACACTTGGTATTATTAATTAATTAGTCTATATGACACTGGTTCAATGGAGGGAAGTTGAAACATTTAAAGTTGAAATCACATTTGTACAAACTAGCTAAAATGGTAAATATTGTAATTGTATGGTTATTAGGATCGATCATGTAAATGCTTACAACATTGCAATTCATTTGTAGTCCTCATTTAATGAACACAATCTTAAAATTAACTAAAGCGCTCATGTACAGGCTCTGGTGCTCTTCACGGGGATAATTCATTGATATAATTTACTTTCCCTGTTGTAAATTAATCAATTAATAAGCACTTGCAACATCCACCATGTGATTAGGAATCTGCCGGGTGCTGTGTGAGACACACACAATAAAGAAATCTGGGCCTCTAATCATCATACAGTCATTGTATCTGAGCTCCAGGGGCTGTCAGGTGGTGGTTGGAGGACAGAGCGAGCAGGCCCTGTAACCTGTATCAGAATGTGCATGTGACACCTGGGCAGGGAAAAGGAACCCGGCCTAACTGATGAGCCATGGAAGTAAGCAGAGAGGAGAAACCATCATGAAAGAGATTTGGATCCTCCACATGGAAAGACAACAGATGAGAACTGAGTGTCTGGCCAGGGTGGTAGGTGGTTCCTGCCTGTGAGGCTGAGGCAGAGACTACCAGTTCTAGGCCATCCTGGGCTATATTGTGACTCTTTGTCCAGCCTGAGCTACACAGTCAGATCCTCTCTCTAAAAAAAAAAAAAGAAAGAAAAAAGAAAGAAAAGAAGGAAGGAAGAAAGAAAGAACATATAAATGTGGTTTTAGAGTGCCACTAAAGAGATTACTAACAGGAGGAGTAACTTGATGACCTAGCTGTGTATTTCAACAAACACAAGCTCATGAGCGTTGTTTGGATGGGAATAAACACCTGCAGAGGTGGCTCGGATTTACACACCACGAACATCTAAACAGTCATGGGTTACATGTACAGGTAAAGGTCACGGGTTAAACTCTAGACTATTCTGTAACATTTTTCACAATGTATATATCAGAATATTA